TAACCGAAATTATGTCAAAATTCTAATTAATAATTAGTGTGTAATCCATCAAAATTATGACGATATTTTTCTGAAAGAATTTAGGCAAGCATCCTTAGCTATAATCAAATTGCTAGTTTAGCTAGGATTCTATTACTAATTTAGCTTAGATTATTTTGCTAATTTTGTTATGATCATATTGCTTATTTTATCATCTAATATTAATAAATAAGATCTCTTCTAGCTAGTATCTAATAAGATATTGATAAATATTATCCAATAATATTATAATATGAATTATTCAATAAAATATAAGATAATTAATATATTATATTATACTTATAAATTTGCTAAAAGTTAAGGTAAACAATATCTATCTATAATTATATTAATTGTAATACTTCATTAAAATAAAAATATATAAAAGAATATGAGTAAATTGCTAACTTTTACAATATAAAAAATGATGTCCTACTTGTTTTGATACTAAATTTGATATTTCAATTGTTAAAGAATTAGTTCAAGTTTAAGTAAATATTTGTTGATGTTCTAAGTAAAGTTATAAATCATAATATAAGTTACAAATTGATATAAGATAATTAATATTTAGAATGAATATTTAAGAAGTTATATAAATTTAAAAAATAATTTTAATTATTACAATTTTAATCTGCTTTAGTTTTAGTATAATAAATATTTATTTTGTTATAATAATCATAAACTATAATTATAAATAAAGTTATAGTCAGAAATAAGAGTTACAAATTGGTATAAGATAGTTATTATTAATAATAATTATTTAGAGAGTTATATAATATTTACGATCAAATTTAATAAACGTAAAAATAAAAATACTTTAGCTATCACTATGTAAACTTTTAATTCTTACTAAATACCATAAATTATGCTTATAAGTAAAAATATTAAAGTTGTAGCTTATATTTAGAGCTATAAATTAGTATATAATATTATATATTGATCTTTAATCAAACTCAAATCAGACTCAAACTCATATAATGGTTCAGTTTGAATTTTAAACCGAACTCAAATCCAAGCAAAAGTCCAGTTCAATTCAGTTCATAGAAACACTATCTCTTAATCTTGAAATTGATAAACAAATAGCTCATGATAGAAATAATAAGTGTTTTTTTTCAACTGAATATAATACTAATTTATTATGATACTGTCATGATCAGATTCCTGATAGGTATAATCGTAACGTAGATGTTCAACCAACGTCTAATGATGACAATTTTGCAGTTATTCAATCTCGTTGTAGTTGGTATACTTCAGGATCATCACACAGTGCGTTTTCTTCTATCTTATAAATAAACTCTCACTATTACTAATAGAAATTATGAAATTACAGAATTTATGGGAATTATAAGAATTTCCAACTGTAACAGTACTGTAAAGAGCATAAAAATGGAATACAACTCTGAGTAATATAAAAAGAGACTGATGGTGTTCACATTATATATATAGATGTAATTTCTCATACTCTTGAAAATGCCAAACAAATTGCATATAATAGAAATGGGAAATGTCTTTCAACCACACATAAAAATTGTGATACTAAATTATTATGGTGCTATGTAAAAGATCATAAGTGATATGCAACTTTTAATAAAGTAAATAAACATAATACATGGTGTTCACATTGTGTAGGTAATGTTTGGTATACTCTTGAAGTTGCTAAACAAATTGCTTTTAGCCGAAATGGGGAATGTCTTTCTACAAAGTATATTAATACCCGTTCAAATTTGTTATGGAAATGTATTAATGGACATTTATGGAATGCATCACTTTTTAATATAAAAGTTTTAGATACATGATGTCCATACCGCAAAAATAAACATGAAGAATTGTGTCGTGAAATTGTTATTAAATATTTAGGGTCACCTTCTAATATTCGTCGACCAGATTTTTTAAAAACATATGATCATCCTCTTGGATTGGAACTTGATATTTATTATCCAGAGCATCTTCGACTCATTGAATAGATTTAAAACTTCAAATGCATTTATAACGTTGTACAAATATACATATTGTTAAAAAAAACTAAATGCTCAACGCAAGAAATTTTATTTTTTTAAATAAGATGCTATAACATTATAGATTGATCCTAGTTTCCTTTGTGCCCGAGTTTTGTATAACACGTCTGCACACATTTTCCGAGTTGAAATATGAGAGGTGGATAGCCAGTACGTGAAAGGTACAACGCGACCCGTTATAGAACGGATGAATATGAAGAAAAGCTGGCATGATCTCATAAGAGGATGAATATGTGGTTAAAAGTATATCGCCATTTTGATCGCAGAATATTGAGGTTATATTGTATATAGTAATTTTACATAATAACACATTTTATACTATTTGTGTACACACCATTTATCTTTTTCGTAAATACTTGCATTAGTTTACTATCAGAATTAAACTTGGCTGAGTGTAAATGGTAGCTCTCCCCGGTAGTAACACCGTTCAACAAGTCAAGTTACCTTCTCAAATAGAACTAGTTTAAAATGGAACAAAATTAGAGCATAGTTCTCGTTGGTGCAAAGAAAAAAATCTCAATAATATAGAATTTACAAAGCATGCCTGATTAATTAATGTTTATCAAATTAAATATTTATCGTTATGCAACAGCACATATTATAGTTTATTATTAGAATTAACGTTATCGTTATGAATTCGAAGCTCATTAATTCTTTCATACATTAAAATTTGATAATAACTGTGTTAATAAAATTTGCCATCGAAGAATTAAATAACCGCAACATACGTGCTAACCCAGTATAAATGTATACATAACTAATTATATACCCAATAATATAAATGGCAAAAAAAAACTCTTAAAAAGAGAGAGAGAGAGAGAGAGAGAGAGAATAAATTAAGTTCGAGGACTAATTCTAACTTTCAACTCTGTACAGTTAGCAATCAATTGAGTATTAACTTTCAATGGCTCATGCTCATTCACTAACTCAACATTATAATTTTTATATACTGAAGACATTAATAAAAGTAACTCGATCGTTGCCAGATTTTTTCCAGGGCATATACGTTTACCTCCACCAAACGGCATCCAAGCAGATCTATCGTTATCGTTATCGTTATCATTATTACAAAACTTATCCGGATCAAAAATTTTAGGATTATCCCAACACTCAGGGTGACCATGTGCTCCTGCAAAATTTATATGAAAATCTGTACCAGCTGGCCATTTATATCCTGCAATTTCACACTCACTAGTGGTGTGACGGAATGTAAAAGGTACCGGTGCCATTAGACGACTAGCTTCCTTAATTATAGCTTCACAATATTTTAGTTTTCTGAGATCGTCGCATGATAAGTAAGGTTTACCAAAAGATTTAGATATAGAATCAATTTCCGAAAGCATTTTTTCTTTTACATTGGGATGTTTACAAAGGTAGTAGGTTATGAAACAGAATAAATTTGCAGTCTAAATTATAGTAAAACAGAATTAAATACGAAATTAATAATCAAAAATATTATATATTAGAGAGAAAAGTAATACTCACAGTATCTGATCCACCCAAAAAAATATCTAGCAAATTCATTCTTATCTCTACATCAGTCATAGGTTTAAATTTCTCGCCTTCAACAACAGTTTCTGCTGTAATTAAGGAAGTAAGCATGTCTTTTTTCATTCTTGTTTCTGGCATTTCTTTGATTTCAGTTCTTCTCTTTTTAACTATATTATCCAATTTGTTATACAAGTAATCACGGTTACTTAAATAAGAATTTGATTTGCTTTTGAATATTGGAACGTAATGTCTAGTAAAAGGGCTATAGAACGAGAAAAACAAGAGGCTTTCAAGAAATTTTACAAGTGCTTTGACAAAGTTGTTTCCATCTTCAACTAATGCATCAGGAAGTTCGGATTTGTTAATGCTTAGTGTGTTATAGTAGGAAGTAATTGAATACGTGCGTTTTCCAGTGGCAAGTATTGAAGTAACATCATTAATAAATCCGTGAAACCATGCTGAAAAATCTGTTTCTAATGTCCAATTATTATTATTGTTCTTCTTTGAAGCATTTTGCTTTCCAAGGGATTGCCAATAACCGCTCATTTCTTCATATATTTGATTTATATTTATTATAGATGCTTCAATAAATTTAGCTGATAATGCCTCAGCAAAGAACTGTTTATTATAATTCCAACTTTTATAAGTTTCATTGAAGAAAAGTCCATGGTTGCACATTCCCAATTCAACTGTACCTTGAGAATTTGGAAGTCTCATGTAAAATTGCGCAGGAGAAAAAAGTTTTTTAATATAATTTGGCCGTGAAAGAATGATATATCTGCGATCGAGCATCACTTCACAAATATCTCCGTATTTTTGTTGACATTGTTCATAAAATTCCTTTACATCGGGGCCACAGTTATGACTGTTTCCAAAAAATGGTAAAGGAAATGGACCAGGGAGCGGATTGGGACGAGTATAGTATTTGTAATAAAAGTTAAAGATATAGGTAGAGATACAAGTAGCAAAGATTAAAATGAATAAATCGATAGTATTAACGGATTTAATGGATTCGATAATAGTTTGAATAGACATCTTTATTTTTTTGTGTGTACGTACTTGTATGTAGATACATTATTTATAATGAATTTTTGTGCAAAATAGGAATTACAGGTTTTAATTCTACAAGGAATAAAATCTAATGCTTCATGGCGAAAAAAAAGTTCAAATCATATGATAATCGATAAACACTTTAAAGTTCATTTACATTTGGCATGAAACCTTATCTGGTCAATGTATGCATTTCGACGGAGTATCAAGTCCCTTAGTACGTCTTATTTTTTAGCGATTTAACCTTACATGGCGTGATGCATGCATTTATATAATCTCTGCATGCTTCAAATTTTCTTTACGATTCCCCTTTGGTACATATCACTGCAGTCATCAAATAATAGAAGAGGAACCGTGGTTCCGAAGCAAAGATTAAAATGAATAAATCTATAGTATTAACGGATTCGATAATATTTTGAATAGACATCTTTATTTTTTAACCTTACATGGCATTTATATAATCTCTGCATGGAAATACATGTTTTTGCTTCTATCTAACCTTTCTTATATCAATTCACTTACATAACAATGTCTACCAATATTGTATTGTTTGAAAAAGGTTTAAATTTTCTTTACGATTCCCCTTTGGTACATATCACTGCAGTCATCAAATAATAGAAGAGGAACCGTGGTTCCGAAG